TGAGTCCAAAATTTCTGTTGCTAAGTGAGACATTTGTTAAATGAATTTTCCCCATTTTACAACCTTTCTTGCTATAGTTGTTAAGTAAATCACTGCAGTCATTAAGTTAGGGACATGGTTGTTAAGTGAATCTGGCTTCCCCATTGAAAGTCGCCAAAGTTGATCACATGATCCTGGGACATTGCAACCATCATAAATATGAGTCAGATTCTATTCAAAAGCGATGTGATCAAATTGCCATTTTTACCCTTTATCATTTATTTTTAAAAATTAAACCACCTAATATTTGAAGCTCTCTGTGTGCTTTACAAAAAAAACAAAATACTTAAAAAAAAGTTGGGAGACTTGTTACACAACATAACTGTGTGTATTAGAAAGAAAAATCCAGCAACAAGAAGCCAGATACCCTGAGAATATATCCCAAATACTATATAGTTGTGCAATTTGCACTCTCGTGTTCCTCAATTTAAGGATTTTATAAAGACCTACACAATCTTGCAGATTGCCCTGCTTCAGGGCTTCCCCAGATTCCGATGTTCAACCTTCCAATTTTTATTTTACTTATTTATTGTATTTGTACAACTGCCCATCTCGCACAAAAGTGACTCTGGGTGACATACAGCACTTAATTAAAAAAAAATACACAAAACAGTCACATTTAATAACTGTAAAAAAGACACAGAAAACAAGAGAGGCTGATTTTGCTACTGCTACTGCTATTTTGCTTCCCTGCTACTGAACCAGGAAAATATCACACACTATTACAGACACGAAATACTGGGGAGCAGGAATGGGAGGAGGGATTGAAGAGCGGAAGAAGCAAAGAAAAAAGGAAGTAGAACAATTAGTCCCTTAACTCTAGGCCTCCTTTCATCTGTGGACCAAGCAAGAATAATACTTTTCTTCGGTGAACAGTACATTAACTAGTCCTGTGGGTTTATGCTGAGATCTCAGACAGGTTTTACCTCTCCACCTCAGTGTTTTACAATCTCAGTTGCAAAACATCCCTTTCATCCTAGTCATTCACTTCAACAGCTCTACAGCGTAGACATACATTATTTTTTTATTTTGCTGATGGAACAAATGAAAAAGTAAGCAGGCCAGGTGCATAGGTGAGTGGAGATATAGTTGATAAGCAAAACTGGTATTTGAAGCTTGGTATTAGTGTTGAGTACAGCTAATAGTCACAGGGAGCAAAGTGGGAAAGTTGGAAAGATTGTGCTCTGAGTCAAAGCCACCCTTTTTGCAGAGATTTGCAGAATGGATCAGGACAGAAAATCAAATGGTCCAGCATTTATGGTCACCCGAAGACAACATATAGGAACATTCCTTAGAATGCAACTTCATTTTTAAAGGGACAATTTCATTCACAAGCAGAACCACAATACCAGAGACATCCAGGAGGTCAACCACATTATCCAGGAAATTCAAATATGGGACAATATTTCTCAAACAAGAATTAGGTTACAGCAGTTCAGACCAGACTGCAGAAATGAATTTTAAATACAACTAAAAGCAATACCAAATGGAATTAGCGCTTCAAAGTGAAGAGTATGGTAATAGCTGGCAGAGAAAGTCAATTTACCTAGTCACAGACTACTGGAGATGGGGTTAATGAGTAGAAATGTAATGCTAGAACTGTTGCAGGGAAAATATGTTTTTAAGCTGCACTAGTATGACAGCTTCATGCTTCCTGTAATCCTACGCCAGGGCATGTTGATAAACTTGAAGCTAAAACAAACAGTATTTCACAGCAGACATTTTTTTTTTTTTTTTTTTTGGCCAAACAAGATAAATGCTCGTGCAAAGCCCTTTAAAAGGTTTCTACAGCAGCAATCCAGAAGATGGTATTCTCCCCAAACTCAGGAACAATTCAAATCACAGATGTTCTCTAGTGGAAAAGATGGTTGAATTGCTATTGCGATTCATTGATTAGCATCATTCTCTTTTCCTAATTGCAAATCCCGAACTTTTTAACTGCACTTGTAGTTCAGAAATACTTGATATTACAAGGAACTGCAATACACAATGCCTCCAGAAAGGTTCCATGCAGTTATCTGCCAGCTTAGCTTTCCCAGATCATCAATAATTCACTTTCATATACGCCCAGAGCTGGTTTTCAGAACATGCTTTCTTTTTATCCCCTTTCTAAACTTAAGCAAGATGTAAAGTGCTAGTAAAACCTTTCCTACACCTGTTTTCTCTTTTCCCAGCCAAAATCACTCTTGCTCTCTTCATCCCATCTCTCTTGAGGATTTTAACACTTCAAGTACAACCTAAACCTGAAAGAAATAGAGGTGGAAACAACCCTACCTTTGAATTCTCTCTCAAGGAAAGAGGGCTGTTCTAATTGTTTTGTACTCACTTCAGCTGTGAAAATGCCAAAAAAAAAAAAAAATCAGCAAAAATATGTGTGATTACTTCACGCTGTCAGGCTGAAAGGGGAAGCCTAATAAATGCAGCAGGAACGCCACTAGGTGAACATTTCATGAATGAAAAATCCTTAATAAGCAAAAAATCCTTCACCTGCTCCTTGCCCTCCCAGTGCACAGCCTTAGGCACCTCGAAACTTGTCTGATTTCCTGGAGGCGCTCTTTCCTATTCATCTATAAGCACCTCCCACAGAGTTGGCAGACCTGTTACCGTCTTGCTGCCTTACCCCACTGTGAATATAGAAAACAACCCCTTACTAATCTGTCTTTCACTATCCCTGAGAATGTTTCATTCATTTGATCCCCGAAAATGGGCAATGCCAGAAACTGAACCTCAGCACTTCTACAGTTCTGTTTTCTGTTCCTTTCCCTTCCATTTCTGTTCCTTTCCCTTCCATTTACTCCATGAAGCTTTCTAATCTCCTGAAACCCACCGGGCACATGGCCTGATGCACTCAGGGGCCCCCCGAAGTGGCAACAGTTACTGCATACTGAGCAGGAAAGTAATGCAGTGACAGGGAATTTGATAAATTAGCCCTCTCAAATTTCCAGGCTTCCCTATCTCTGAGGTTCCATCCCAGTGAAATCTGTTCTGGAATTTCACTCTGCTTAGAGGCATTGAAAATGACCCTCTTAACTATTTGGCAAGATGTCTCTCCTTATGTTGCGGGGGGGGGGGGGGGACTGAAAAATGACCAAACAGTGCATTGCAAGAAGCCATTAGATCTTCCTACGCCTTCCTTTCTCACCTCCATTTGCCTTGCTCTTGCTATTAAATGTACAATTATCCTATCTTACTATCACGTTCATTTTCTTCAATGACAGGAAAAAAAAGGCGCAGGTAAGCATCATCAGTCAGTGTGTAAAAATGAACCATCCAGGAACGCAGGCGTCATCATCTGCCGACACCATCTCCCCATTCAAACACTTTCCAGGAATTCTGTTCTTCATACCAATCCAGCAGCCTGAGTCCATTTCCTTGTAAAATGAATTAATTGATTTCAGCCATCTATCCCTAAGGGAAAAAAAGGAACAAAAAACCCTAGGCATTGCCCCTTCTTTGCAACATGACTCAGGATCAAAGCTCAGGGTTTCCACTGCTGGGAGAATTGCCTGTGGAAAGCAGTTGTAGGTCAGTGTGTGCCAGCCTCCTTATATGTTTCTTGGGTTGGCAGGTCTTTTATTTGGACTACAGTACCTTGAGAATACAACTCTTACTTGACCTTTGTCTCCTGTTCCACATCTTGCACACAATCACAAGGAATCATGCATAGCTTTCTCTCTCCTCCAGCTCCCCCAATCACTGCCACCAGCCACCCCAATTGTTACATGTACCCCAACCATCCCTATTGCACAGAGAGGAATCTTGAACAAATGGGTCCAGCAGGAATTTTGGACAGTGGCTTGCAGCGCAAATGGCAAGAGAAGAAAGTCACAGTGAGTAGGCTAAGGAGATGCCATGTGGCACTGCCGGCGTATCCACATGGCTTCCAGCCTCACCCAGCTGCCAAGTGCTGCAGAACCGTGGCGGGAGGGGAGCGGAAAGGTGGGGAGAGAGAGGGACAGAGAGAGAGAGAGAGAGAGAGAGAGAGAGAGAGAGAGAGAGAGAGAGAGAGAGAGAGAGACCCTCTTCACCACAGGGAGCTTCGCTTCTTGCAAGAAGTCCAACCTCGAACCCCTTCGCCCGCGTGCACACGTACACTCCCCCCTTCCAAAACAGCCTTGCCACAAAGCCATCCGCCCTCGCCCTAATCCAACCGCCGCTGCCGAATTGCTCCAACCAAACCCGGGGGATTAAGCTCTGAAAAACCCGCTTGGCGCACAAGACCCGAGGCACTGCGGCTCTTTTCGCCCCCAGCCCCGCTGCTTCTTTGCCACGGCGACCGCACTCGGCGTAACCAACGTACCGGCTCCGGCTTCCCTCCTAGTCCAGCCTCTTGTCTCCCAATCAGCTGCCGCTGCCGCCTTGCCCAACCCCGTATCTACCTGCAGGACGCCTCCTAAAGCCACCCAGCCTTTGCACCACTTCCCGGTCCAGCCGCCTCCTCCCCTAGCCGGGCACTTTTCCTCTCTCTCTCTCTCTCTCCTCCACCCTTCTCGTGATCCGCCCACCCGGCCACCGCCTGCATTTTGAACCCGGCGCTTTCCCCGAGTGAACCCCCCCCCCCACACACACACACTTCTCCCTTCCCAAAATAGGAAGTCTCCCTAACTGCGCAGCGCTCGAGGTCACTTTCGCTCCCTTCCCTTCGCACCTCCCCCGCAGACACGCGTCCATGAAACCCTAGGATCTCCCTCCCCGCCCCGCGCGTGTGAATGCGTCCCCCAGCGCAATAAGCCCCGAGTTGACGGGGTTGCCCAAAGGTTTACGTTCTCCCTTGGCTGAGCCACCGCTAGTTGCCTCGGGACCGCCTCCAAGTGAGAGCTTGGGTGCTGGGAAGCGCTGCGGATGATGGGCTCGGGTGGCCCCGGAGAGTCTGCCTGGTCCCTGATCTCCCCAACTCCTTCCTGGTTTGGTCCTTTTAATTTCCTCATCTGTCACGGAAAGAGAAAGAGAGGGGAACCCACCCTTGGTCCAGAGTTGGTAGTAGCAGCAGCGATAGCAGTTGGTAGCAGCAGCCGCCCGGGAGCAGTTTAATCCACCGAGCGCCCAGCAGAGCCGATCCGAGGCTGAACCGCAGCGGGAGAAGGCAGCGTTTTCCCGGCACTCATGTTGCTGCCGTCTCCGGAGAAGAGCGCCGGCGAAGAGTAGACGCAGCCGAGTGACAGGCGCCTTGGCAGCCGGCGCTGTTTGTGGCGAGGAGACGGGGAGAGGAGAAGAGAAGCCGGGGAGGGACGAAAGGGGAGGCGCTTGCGAGTCAGGCGTCCGGGAGGGTGTGAGTGCGCGTCTGTATGTGCTACGCGGCGGTGGTGGTGCCGTGCCACTTCTTCGCGAGCGCATTGCAGCGCGGCTCTCTCTTTCTCTCGGCTAGCTGGGGCGGGAGCGGGAACGAGGCGAAGCCGCCAGCTCAGAGATCGGGCTTTCGAGAAGGGATTGACACGAAGGATTAAAAAGGCCTCACCTTGCTGAGCTCTGAGTCAGCCAAGGGTGGAACAGGTTTGTTGCTCTCTCTCTCTCTCTCTCTCTCTCTCTCTCTCTCTCTCTCTCTCAAGCCAGCAAGAGTTTGGGAGAAGCTGTAACTTCCGAAGGAGAAGACCTCCAAGAAAGGCGTGATCTTGGTGACCTTCAGCCTTCTCCCAGCTTCGGGTCTTCCGGGTCTCCTGGACTTGGAGTCCCATCCTCCCCAACCTGCACCAGCCATGCTGGCTGAAAATAAGGAGGGGTGGAATCCAGTTGATCTGGATGGAGGGCCTAGGACTGGGGAAGGCTGGGGTATAGATCTTAGGCGTGTCTGTTAAGGGTTATCTTTCCTACTTTTTCCCCTTGGGTTGAGGGCAATTTTCAGAGTCTGGTGCCCCCTTTTCCATTAGGACTATTGTGAGAATTGTAGTCCAGCATTTCTAAAAAATACAGTAGTGTTGAGGAAATCTCGTTTAAAGCACCAGCTTGGAAGAGGAACAATGTGGGTGGGGAATAGCCTATTTTTTTACACCCTTTATTTCGCTTATCAGGGATGAGTTGCTTGGTAGGTTTGCATCAGGTGCCCGAAGGTGCCCCGAATTCCAGATTATAACAAAATGTTATAATCCACTTGCATCCTTGGTGCTCAAAGTCAAGGTCACTTTGAAGGCCTCTTTTTTTTTCTTTGAACAAGCAATTAAACTCTCGCCAGATGTACGCACATCCCAGGGTTGATATCCTAAATATGTTTTTCTGGGAAGTAAACTCTATAGATTGTATACAATTGTGCTGCAGGTGATTATGATTACATTTGACGCCTTGGAGCTCAAGGAAAAAATGCACAGCAGTTTAGATGCCATTCTGATTTGCACCAATCAGCTAGAAAAGCAATATTCAGCCAAAGCAGTGATTAGGGTTAGACTCATACAGATTAAAAAGACTCTCATTTGCCTTTTGGGGGGAGGAGGAGGTGATGAAAAAGGGGTAACTGTTTCTGATTGCATTTTTTGCACCATGTATGAATGAAACAAGTGTGCCTTTTTCTCCCTTAGGCTGTGCAAATATCTTCAAGGCAACAGCCTCTAGATGACCTTTGGATGTTTACCATCATTTTGTTGTACCTTTACCTCTTGAGAGTTTGGATGTGTGTGTATATAAGTGAAGGATGGGAGTGGCAAAGTGTTGGGGTTTTTTTTCCCTTTAACCCTCCTTAACCAGGAAGCAGCCAAATGGAAAGCTAATCAAACTCCAACCAAGGAAAAGTGTACTGATTCAGTGCACTAATTAATTAACTGCATATAGCTTAGCAGCATGGGTCTATCTGTAGGTATTGCTCTTCGTTGTCTTTTAATTTCAAGTGTTTTTTTTATGTCATGGAATTTACAGTGGGTGGAATTTAGTTTGAAGTCAGTGGAATGAGGTTAACTAGTTCCTCTCCATGTCATGCTGAAGCCGTGGTTTCTTTCAACTGTGGTTAAGCAAACCCTAATTGGCAGAGTTCACAAATCATAAAAATCTCTAGGGTGCTGTAATTTTCTTTTCAGTGTAGCTTTTCGTAACTGAAACATCACCAATTGGAGCTCAACTTTCTACAGGGGGACAATCGAGAGCATCCTGTCATACAGCATCAGAGTCTGGTTTGGAGGCATCACTGCTTCAGACAGGAAGGCAGTGCAGAGAGTGGTGAGAATGGCCGAAAAGATCATTGGCAGTTCCCTCCCTCCCATCCAGGACATAGCACAGAAGCGCTGCTTGAGCAGGGTCCATAAGATTATCTGGGACACTACACATCCTCTTCACGACCTGTTTTCCTTGTTACCTTCTGGGAGGAGGGGGCTTCATGGTATCCGAAGCAGAACATCCAGATTCAGCCAGAGTTTCATTCCATACAGCATTAACCTTGCGAACTCTCAAGCTTCCTCTTTCCGTTATATATTCAAGATGGACAATATTTAATATTTATTTGCTACGTATATGTAGGGATGTGGGACTATACATATGTTGTTCATAATATGCTTAGGTGTGTGTCATATATGTGTTTCACTTTGAGAGCGGGCAACTAAATTTCATTTTTGATGTGTGGCATTGTGCCCACAGTATAAAAATGACAATAAAGCTTATATTATCTTAACTTCAGATGACTTCATGGGCGTGTGTATCTGGGTAGTTTTCTTGATATTAAATTGGAAAGGATTAGATGGAGGGCTATTGCCTTCTTCCAGTATTTTTTTTTTAATTTACATTTTATTTTTCCCAGTCTAGCTAGAACCCTTCTTTGTCTTCTACTCAAGCACTACCTGTCTGGTCTCGCTTAACGTCTATGCTCAGATAAGGTCAATCAGATGGTGCCACTTGCTGAGGTATTTTTAACACTTCAATGGAAAATCTTATCACTAGTGTGGAAAGATGAACCTGCTTAAACAAATACAGCCAATATTGATTTTATGAAATTTTGCAGTCCTGTACTTTGAAGATTATCAAATGTTCATGTGGGTTCTACTGATCCACTGTCATCCCAGCATTGATATGCCAACATGAAAACCTAACTGGCTCCTTAAGGTCAAGTATCGTGTATAATTGCAACACAAGGTCATATTGCTACATACAAATTTTGGGTCTATTCCACCATAGCAAACATTTGAGGGATGTCTAATATAAACAGCTTCTTTTAATTCTGGTCACATTTCTATGAGGTTGGGTCTGGCTTTGCCTTGTTCTTTTCAATGCGCTGAATTTGTTCTTTGTCTTTTCTCTTTTAGACTATTCTATGCTTGGGACCACCGTCTTGTTGCGTGATCCACGTCTGATTCAGTTTCAGCTGATAATAAATGGACTGATATTCTCTCATAGAACAGAAAACATACTTTCTTCACTTATGGCAAGCCCTTCAAGTCCTGAAACCACAAAACAAATCACAATACTGCCGTCACCATGCTTGACAATTGGCATAAAGTTCTTATGGAATACAATATTTGGTTTCCTCCCAAGATTCATCATCGATGTAGACTGAAAACATCCATCTTTTGTTCATCTACTACAGAGCATTTCTCCATAGGTCTGGAAGGTCATCCTGGTGCTTTTTTGGAAGACCTGACCTCAGCTGTCAGTGTTCTGTCTTGTTGATATGTCATGAATCACATTTTTACCCAATGGTTTTCTGATGGTAGAGTTGTGGACACTGACTTTTACTAAGACAGCTAAGACCTGCAAACCCTTGGATGTTTTTAATGGAATTCTTCATAGCTTCCAATTATATGCAGCACTCTTGGGATGATTTTGACAGGCAGCTGCTCTTGAAGAAGTTTGATATTGGCCCAGTCATGTCCATTTCAAACATATATCCCTTGACCATGGATTTATGGAACCTTTGTTGTTGTTAGTTGTGAAGTTGTGTCCGACCCATCGCAACCCCATGGACAACGTTCCTCCAGGCCTTCCTGTCCTCTACCATCTTCTGGAGTCCATTTAAGTTCATGCCTACTGTTTCCGTGACTCCCTCCAGCCACCTCATTCTTTGTCATCCCCTTCTTCTATTGCCCTCAATCTTTCCCCGCATTAGGTTCTTCTCCAGTGAGTCCTTCCTTCTCATTAGGTGGCCAAAGTACTTGAGTTTCAACTTCAGGATCTGTCCTTCTAAAGAGCAGTCAGGGTTGATCTCCTCTAGAACTGACCATTTTGATCACCTTGCAGTCCAGGGGACTTGCAGGAGTCTTCTCCAGCACCATAGTTCAAAGGCCTCAATTCTTTTGTGCTCAGCCTTTCTTATGGTCCAACTTTCACAGCCATACATTGCAACTGGGAAAACCATGCCCAATACTGTATGACCTTCTCCAGACTGTAGCCATTATTGATTTATGGAGATCCTCAGATTATTTTGAGCAACACATAACATGCCTGTAGAATCTATGAGGTGAGAATTTCAATGTAATAAAGCAAGCTAAAGTTGGCAGACAACTTGGCTGGCTGATCCCTAATTATCTCTTTAATTGAATTGATTAGACGGGGGGGGGGGAGAAGGTGGCACCATTACATTCTCACACAGCACCTTTGCATGTTGGACAACTATTGTTGATGAAGTGAAATGAAGCAAAGGGCAAACTTTGGAGATAATTGTTCACTCAAACTTTTTTATATCAGTAGAACTGACAAATAAATGGAAACATTCCAAAAATTCCAATGCTTTTCACAGATTTCTGCCTCTCTGTCATGTATTTCTTGGTTGCTTTTAGTAACAAAGGAGGTAGGTCTCTTGGAATGCTCGTTTCAACTATTGTTTATTCTTTGCATCTAAACTTTCATAATGAGTCATATAATTTTAGCAGTCTTTGCAATCCAACGTCTTCCAAAGATTACTGGATTTCGATTCCCATAAATCACAGTCAGATTCTCCAAAAAGCAACTGGTTGAGAAAGTTGTCCTTGGTTTTAACAATATTACATTTCTCTATGTGCCCTGTAGGGAATTCCCTTGTTGAAAATTTTGAGAGCAATCCAATTTTCCTAGTGAGCAAACTTGATTGAAGAGTGGTATGTTTGTCATGATCCAGATAAAATCAAGCTTGGATTTGGTTTAATGATTCCAGCTGATCATCCCAGTTTTTAAAAATGCCCCTCATTCTAAACTTCTGAAAATCTTTAGAGCAGCAGATAAGTCATTTGGAAACAAAACTGGTATGCAGAGAAAAATCACTGCACTGTTACTTTCTTCTGTTAACAGAATGTTGGCTGGGTATTCCCAAATGAAGAGTTAGTTATTAAAAGAACAAAGCCAATTCAAATCTAAGCTTTGCCATGTGGGGTTAATGCCAAATGAAGCTTAAATATGTAAAACTACCTTTTTCTTGTCTTTGTCACCAGTGGGATTTTGACTGTAATTCTTTAAGGCTCATATGGGTGGCAGATGGGTTGTTCTGTAAAGTTTTGTGATATTATAGATCAATCCCAAACATATTTGCCTAAAAATAATTTGTTAAATTCAGTGAAATGTATTTTCAATTGTGTTCACTAAAAACAGCTTTCTTATAACAAGTG